CCCAAGGGTGGCCTGACACCGGAGCTTCAGTCACTGTGTGGGAGAGTGGGCACTGGGCTCCCACGGGCCTCCCAGCAGTGGCTCCAACCCGTACGCCATTCAGAATTCCTCAGCTCTGGTCACTGGTAGAGTCGCTTCCAGGCGCCCACCACTGGCAGCCCACTGCAACCAGGAGGGCAGCTCCCACAAACATCTGTACCATTCTCCCCCTGAGTTAAATGCTGCTGGAAAAAAAAAACCCAATTCACTCATAATTCTCTTACTTCATTGAAAAATTGCTAGACAAAGATAGTAAAAGCATTTTAAAAATGAATGAAGCCGGAGCCCAGGGCAGGGAGAGCTGAAGCAGTTGGGTGCCTGAGGAGAACCCTATGTCCAGGCCACCTAGGACTTTGCATCCTCATATCTGAACCATGCTCAGGAAAAGGCATGCACACAGGACAGAGTTCACCACACATAAGCGACTAAAGAGCCCTCAGGGAGGCAAACAGCCAAGAAAACTGCCTGGGAGAAACTTGACTGTGGGGAGTGAAGGCTCTCCTGGGAATCTGCAGCCACAGGAAGGGTCAGACATGGATTCAGAAACAAAATTCACACTGTGTGAGGTAAGGAACTCAGAAGCTGGAAACTTTCATTTCTGGACCCATTTCAACTGGAGCCAGGTCTGTAACGTCCTCAGCACACATGGCAGAAACACAAACCCACTCTGGAGGAATGAATTAGAAAAGTCCAAGGGTTGTGTTTTATTGTGAATTAAAGTTCCCAATAAAAGAAAAATCTCAAAACACACGAGAAACTAAGACACACACACACGCACGCGACTTGCTTTCCTTCGGGCAACTGTTCTCTCTCTGCCCTTTAATTCATGGCTGGTCCTTTCGAATAGTTTCCATTGGCAGCTAACACTCACTGTCTGCTCATTCCTGCCTTAAATCCATTCTATTTGGGTTCCATGACCTCCACACTAAAAAGGCATCTAAATTCTGCCAGTGACTTACTTTTTGCCCATTTCAATGACCTTTTCTCCTATGTCATCCTCTGTGATCTCTTTCTAGAACTTGACAATGCCTTAAGATTCTCTTTCCTCTTGAACTTTGCTCTCCTGGTTCTTTCCCAACTTCAACTTTTTCTTATGTATCCATTCATTCGCTCATTCATTCAACAAACATTAAGCGCTGAATGTTTTACTCTTAAAATATGTCACAGTTTAACAGAAAAAGCAGCAGGTTGGTTGGGGATTCAGGCAAACTACATGGGATTAATGGACATTTGTATTGATGAGCACAGAATCAGAAGAAAAGCTATTTGCCGGATTTTGTTAGTGACACACTGATAAATCTCTCCCACACAGGATAAATACTCATCACATACACCAGCCCCTTTGCTTTTCACCTGGATATTTTATTTTTAAGCAAATTTTCCTCTGATCCACACATGCTGTATTTCTGTGTATTAATATCTGTCACACCTGAATCTTTATAAGCTAAGGAATCATTTTATTGTTTCTATCTGACCTTTGGCATGTGACAACCTCTCTGCTGTCTCATCCGAAATGGGCAGTAAGCCATTATTATTTAAGGTGACGTCACACATTTTGATCGTCACTCCCTCACCACCAAGTTTATGCTCGCTGCACTTTTTGATGATGATAATAATAGCAGTGGACATTTATTACACACTCGGTATGTGCCAGGCATTGAGATAAGCCCTATGCGGTGCCACAGCCTGATGATACTGTGATTGTCCCTACTTTATAGTCGTGATGCTGAGACTCTCGTAAGTGAGACATGGCTATAAATCCAGATCCTGTCACTAAACATTCCTTAAAAAAACTTCATGTTTTCTTTCATGAAATTTTACTTAATTAGGTCATGCTAAATTTGTATGTAAAAGCAGGGTTAATTTTCTTGCAGGTGAGAAAAACTGTCAAAGAAAAAGCTTCTGTAGACAGGAAAAATACCAGCTGGCTAGAATCGGGACAGGAAATGTGACGAAGCTCTGGATAAACGCTGGGATTATGCAAGCGAAGGGAAAAAATGATTTGCGGGTTTGCTTTGGCAATTTGTTTCTTAATATTCCTGTATACGAAGCATTATTTCCTTCCAAGTTCCCAACTCTGCTACGTTAGCTTCTGTCCTTGACAAGCTGGTCACTGGGCTCTGTTTACCTTTCCTTTCCTCCCCTGTTTACCTTCAGGCTTAATTTAAAAGCCTAGGAGGAAATGCTTAAGCAAAAGAAACAACTTTGCAGAGGAAAACACGTAAAACACTGGGCTTGCCTATAAATGGGTTATTTGGATGGAGCTGGATTTGGTTCTTATTTTTGGCAGTGAACGTGGCAAGTGTGTTTGTGTGCAGCGTACGTGGGCCAGGACAGGAAGGAGAGGCCCGCACGGCCAGTGGCACATGCTTCCATTTGTTGATGTTCAGCATGTTAATAACCTTAGTATTTGCACAGCTGAAGGAAAGGAAAGCACCCTGAGGATAGACACCATAAGGATCTCTAGAAGTTCGCAAACCAGAAAAACATGAGTTGGAAAAGAGCCACAAATTTCATAAGTAAAAAGTGCCGCAGCCCAAGTGACCCGCATGCTGGGATGCTAAATTCCAGAGAATCAGTAAGGGGCACGTTGAAATAATCATCCCGACAGTGCTCAGCTCTGCTTCTTTATTTAGTCACAAAGATAGCAGTACCGAGATAGCCAGAGACTAGGAAGACAGAGATTTCTCCACAAACTCGTGAAAATACAAAGACGGAACTGGTTTTAATCCCATCTCGGTATCTTTCAAGTGTGACGGGTGGGGGATTCAGCCTCACTGAACCTCAGTCTCCTCATCTGCAAGACAAGGGTGATGCCTCGCCAACGTCAGCCGAAGGTGGCTGTCACAGTCCCTAGGACCGCTGCTGTGCCCTTATGTTGTGGCGCGATCGATTCTAAGACCCACGGAGCCAATTGAGATGAATTGTGAGCCTTTATTAGCCGGCCGGCGACTGACTCTCTACCACGCAGGGTCAGAGGAGATCAGCCCCGAGCTTCCAGAGGAGGCAGCTTATAAAGCTTAAGACCATATCCTGGTGGTCTTCTGAACAAGCAAGCAAGCAGATTACAGAAAGCAGATGTTGGCTGTAAACGTCTTACACAAAGACAAATGTTTCCGGGGAACTCTTCGATCAAACAGGGCCTAGCAGGCAGTTTCGTTATCTGCATCCTGGTAGCTGTCAGTGCTTTCCTGGGGGCTCGTCTGAAGATATCCCTTCCCTGTGACTGATTTATTGGAAAGTTTTTCACTCCTACACTTCAGCCTTTCCTGCAAGGAGCCCACTCGCAAACTCATCCATATTTCTCACACTATCTCATTAGAGACAGCAGCATGGCTGGCCTGCTTAGGACCACCCTGCCTCTGGAGGGCCTGGTAAGCTGGGCCCTCCTCAGAATGGGAAACAGCCACCATGGCAGCTGGGCTGCCGTCAAGGCGAATGCAGAGGGCTTTCTGCACAAACCGAAACCCATGTGTCCACAGACAGCCTCTCCAGCTGTGAGCTGTACACACTGTCATCCTCAGAGTCGCTCCTCCCAGGGCTGGCACCATGTCGGGGGCCCGGAAGGCTGGCAAAGAGTGGACTGTCCCCTCAGAGCTGTCATTCGCCAGTGGCTGGGCAGCTGCCCTGCTGGGTCTGTGTGCATCGGTCTGGGACTCAGCCTCGTTAACGGTCACAGGCAGTCAGTCCCCACATCTAAGGTCCCCCGGATCCTGCCCGAATCTCTAACTGCCCAAGGCCACCAAATACAGACCGAAAAGGGGACAAGGAGCAACACAGAATTAAAAACCAGTGCTTGCTCAGCAAGACCGGCAAGGCCCTGTTTCTTCCTTGGCTGAGGGCTCGTGTGCACCGCCGGCCAGACAAGGAGGCCTTTCATGGGTCCTCGCAGAGTGGAATTTTGTTAGGTGGTATACTGGGAGTAAGAGCCACCTCATTTAAGCTTCTTTCTCCTTCAGCAAGTGGTAAAGGGGCTGCAAATGCACTGCGGCAGCCCCAGCACTGGGGACAGTTTGGCTGCAGGGCCATTGGAAGCTCTGCCCCACACTTCCTCCTCACCAGCCTCCCAGGGCACCGCGTCCTACCATCAGAATCGCACTTAGTGGCCTCTGGGAAAAGACCTGTCTTTGTCTTTAGTGCCAATCAATTTAAAATACGTAGGGCCTCAAGGGGCATATAGAGTACGACTCTGCCTAGCTCGGGTTAGGGAGACGCCTCGAGGGCCAGACTGACTAGTACACAGTGGGCTCCGAGTCCCCGAGTCCCCGGGGCAGCAGACACCCTTTCTTAGAGCTGTGTGCTTGCGTGGGCGGGGGCAGGCCTGGGGCTTGTGGATGGGTGGTGGGGGCTTCAGACAAAGGGAGATGGCCATATGACAAATTTGAAGGAAGTTTAATCTAGAGCTAGATCTCTGTGCAGATGAATCAGAAATATATTACCTGTGACTTGATTTAAAATCGAAATGCAGTGGTTTTCAGAATGCACCAACTGAAGATGCTTTATAATCGCCATTTACAGTTCTCATTAAAATTTAGCCTTTGTGTCCTAAAGCACCTGGATAGCACACACTGTCCAAAAACAGTATCAGGGATTTGTTCTTTCTTTTTTCCAGAATAGTAACTCAGAAACCAGAGTGCTATCAGAGATATGTATAAAAAAGACAAAACAATTTTAAGTGTAGTTGAAAAACAAACAAAAACAAGTAAGTTATATTTTTAAAACACTTAAAATATCTCCTTTCATTTTGGAAACCAAAATTACCCATATAACAATTACTGTCTGCAGAGGACACCTGTCAACCTTTTCAAGCCGAACTGTACGTAACACAAAATTGGAAACAGGAGGTGACCAAATGGGAAAACCAGGGCTTTCCGAAAACGTTATTTTTTACCAAATAATAGTTAATTGTTCTAAGGTTCTAAATCCTTTCATACTGCAAGAATAATAGTAAAAAGAAAAGGTTCATATTTATTAAAGTTTTATTGTGTCAGAAATTTCTAAAATTATTACAGGTTAAATGTCCATGACACTATGTGGTAGAAACTGTAATCTCCGTTTTATAGACAAGAAAACTAAGAGTATATGAGACTTGACTAATGGCACACCACAGTGAATGTCAAAGCCAGGGATATAAAGACCACTGAAGGATCTGGAGAGAGAATTTAAATTTGTTGGCTTTGGCAAAATGGTTTCTCTCTGGCATCTAATTAATATCTTCAATGCGAACATTTGCTTAGAAGCAACTGCAGTAAGTTAGCTAAAACCTACCACCTACTGCTGTGAACTAATGATCCTACGATCAGACACCGAAATGTACAGACTATCCTATTTTAATCTCACACAAAACAACTCATAAGTGCCACCATCTTCTCACATTCGAGTTACCGTTCATTTATTACAACCCTATTTCCCCCCAAGTATTTGATGTAACTGGAAGAGAATTCCAAACTCATGCCAAACTTTGAATGCCTTTTACAATTAATTTCCAACCCACTCATTTATTCAATGAATACTGAGTGCTGTCATATACGAGACACAATTCTCGCTGCCGAAGATGTAGACAAAGCCCAAGCCCTTATGGAGTTTATATTTTAGTAGGAAAAACAGATATCCGACAGATAGATGGATAGATAATGTTAATATGTTCCTGTGGCAAAAACTAAGAGTTGTCATCCAGGAACCACTTGTCACCTCTGTCAGTAAGCTAATCTCGGAATCTTAGCTGGGCTCATGGCCGTGCAGAACGCAGTCGACGTTTCCCAACCTCTCTTGAGCTATGCATGGCTATCTGACTAAGATCTGGCCCAAAGGACATAAGCAAGAGAGGTCTGAGCAATATCAGGACACGTTCTGAGCGAGAGACAGTGCGTCTTCCTCATTGTTATTTTTTTTCCTGTTGACTGAAATGTGGACACGCTGACCAGAACTGGAGGGGCCATTTCGGCTCAAGGGGTCTGCATTTTAGGGACAAGGGAACAAAACATTAGAAGGTGACTGAGCCCCTGATGTCATGTCAATCATGCCAATCCTAGATTATTTATCTCTGGACTAAGCTTGTGTGTGGGAAAAACTCACTTTTATCTTTTTAAAATTTCTGGGTTTTTAAAGTTTTCTGTCACTCCCACTTGATTTTAATCTCAATACAAAAATATAAAGAACCGTGAAACAGAGGAAGGGGCCAGAGAGTGGCTCCATGGGACGCTTTAGACAGGATGGCTGGGGAACGACGCTGTGAAGAACAACGGTTGAGCGGAGTCTTGCAGGCACTCGATGAAGTGCCACGTGGGTAGGGGACAGCGTGGTCACAGAAGTAGGGAATCGCAAAAGCGAAGCCCAGAAATGCGAGCAGGCGTCTGTGTCCGAGCACCGGCAAGGAGGCCGCGTGCCGACCGCCCGGATCTACCAACCGCCATTCTGCCAGGCAGGAACCCTGGACTCCGGAGCCCGCGGAGATGGGTCAGCTGCGTAGGCACCGTTCTCCACAGGGTGTCCTCACAAAGCGGGACCGGGCTCTGAGTCATGGCCTCGTGGCGGCCCCGCTTCGCCGTGCGAATTCTGCCCATTTTCCCGAGCCTGGCGAGACCTCATTCCCACTTACACTCCGCTGCGGTGCCTTCTTTCTCCTCGAAACCTTTAGATATTACTATTTATGCTTTTAATTGTCAAAATGTATCATTGTGTTCCGATTCACGCGTGTGTGTCTTGCCACCTCTATTAAGATGTAGTCTAAGAGCCACATTTTAAAAAGTTTTTAAAATCCCTTCTGGCTACCATGTCTTCAGACGGAAGGTGCTCCAGAGAAAATTTCTGTGCGGCCGTTCAACCATCTCACAAGCTAGAAACACAATGGCGAGAACCTAATCTTCCTCTGCTCCTCTCTTTCGCCAGGAAGATATGAGTAGCTGAAGCATGTGGTGCTATATATAGCCAGCTGATGTCAGCTGGATGCCAGTCTCTTCAGAGAGGCTCAGTCCCCGGTTTGAGTCAGGGCTGGGGACCATGCCGTCCTGGGCTCAAGGATAAAAACCATCAGGCCCAAGTGCCATCCCTACTCCATCTCTAGTCTCTCCTCCACGAATTGGGATTCATCCTGCTGGAAAGCGCAGCCTACGAGCAAGGTGAGCATATTGTTTCCTAAAATGTTCTATTAGTCAGTTGTCCAAGGAGGTGCAGAGTTGTGACTCACAAATGGGTATTCTTCGCTTTAAAGGACAGCTGTTGATGCCAATTTTAAAACGCCACCACAGAGTTCTGGTTTAATCTGGTGTTCCTTCTTCATTCTTACAGTTTGCTGGAATTGATGTATTGTGATGCTGGTACAAGTGCAGGCCAGTAAGGAACAATGACAGATTAATAAACTGGAAAAGAGAGCGGAGGGGGAAGGAGGCCAGCTCTTTTGTTGGGTCTCATTGCCTGATCACTGTACTGCTGTGTAGATAAGGCTGGGCCTGAAACTCTTGAGTATCACCCTCTCTTCACGGTGACGCTGTCTGTCAATGAATAATAGGCTGTCACTAGACAAGGAATGCATATTAGAGCTTTCAGTAGAAAGCAATAATAAATTCTTCATAAAAAGCAAAGATGCTCTCTTTCAAAAGGATGACTATGAAACACTCCACAAGAGTTTGTCACACTGCTCCAATAACGTTTATTTTTTACAGGGAACAAAAAACCATGCTATCACATAATACCATGGTGAAGCAGAGAAAACAGCAAGCTTCAGCCATCATGAAGGAAATCCATGGAAATGGTATCAATAAAAACTCTTTGTAGCAATAATATAGCTGGGCACTAATGTAGATACTTCCTGATGTAATTATTTACCATTCTATAGTGCACCTCCTTTAAATTCCTGCTTTCTGTCATAACAGACCTGGGGCTCTAGGGGGTGTAGAAAAGCCTGTGGTCACTAACCCTTTTGTAGTCATCCTTTCTCATTCAGAAGCTATTTTCAGATGAACAACTGCTCTACAGGAATGAGGCGATCTGACAGCTGATGTGCATTCTGCCTGGCTTGCCCGCCACATTATATGTTAATACCTTTCTCCATTCCCCATTCCTCTTTTTTTTTTTTTTTGGACAGGTCTCATATTTGTCTTCATTGTTCATCCCACACAGTCTATCTTGATTTATCTTATCTTATATTACATATATCATTTAAAGTATGTTCTATCATCCTTTTTTTTTTCACTAAAGCTGTTAAGTTGGAATTCATAGTCACTATGAGTTTCTTTAACCCTGAACTCAGTTTTCATAGTTAGTAATTAATTACCAAGGTGTTTTGTGTGGCGATCTACTTTTATTTATAATTTCTAGGAAAATATAAAGTTCTTGTTGTCTCAAAGCACATGATTCAAAAAATTTTTAATATAAATTAGATATAAGATAATATTCTACTAGCTCTTTCTTTCAAGTGCTACCAAATAACTCTAGAAAGCAATACATTCCATTTGGATTGTTATAAAGGAAATTCAACTTTGTTCATGAGAAAGGATAGCATCTCTTTTAAAAGTGAATAAGTAGAACATCCAGACCGTTTAAGGGCTGGCTCGAGCCATTCCAGGTGTCTGTGGCGTTTTCAGGAAGCCTCCCTCCATGATGCCCTTCATTGACAAGGAACGTAACCTTTCACCTAAACAATACTGAGGCCCAGGCAGCAGGGGACAGAAGAGTGCAGTGTTTTCACACTTCACCCTCCCTAAAGAAAGCAGAGCAGAACCAACTGAAGATTGTTTTAGACGCTCCCCATACAGTGCAGTCATATCTGAAAAGTCCTGTTGCTAAGTTTACTTTTCATTTCCTTCAATACAATATCAGCATACTGGGCTGAACTGAGTTCCCACGTTTTATTGTGATGTCAAATTAGCTTGGAATAAAGAGAATAATTCTGAATCAGATTCCAGAACTGCAATAAATCCAAAGTTCCAACATACATGCTGCTTTAAAATTTTTGTTTCTCTGTATTTCTTGCTTCGGATAGTTTATTTGAAATTATTTTTATAGTTTCCTTGATCAATAAGGCAAAAATCAGATGATCATTTGAGTTCGATACTAAATAATTTACCTTAAAATTAGACTTCAGATGTGATTATTTTCTCATTGCATCGTAATCATAAATCTATTGATCCTCTTAATGAAATCCCAGTTTAAATCATGTGTTGGATTCTACTCAATGTCAGTCTGGACACAGACTTACAAGAATATCTTTCTCTTTCTTGTATATAACATAACTTTTGTGATTATGAAATATAAAAAAAAAATACAATTATATCTCAAGGAGAATAACTACTCTCTCACCAGTGGCAGGTCCAGTCCATGAGCAGTCTGGTGAAGCCCTCCCTCCCAAGTCACGGGTAGATGTCCTGCCCCCGTAAGTGGAGTCACACGCTCTGTCTTTGTCTGAAGCTCACATATTCCAGATAACACAGGGATAATCACAGGCTCTTTCTTAACTCGTCTCAGATAAAATAGCAGTAGTACTTTATGAACCAGCTTAAATAATTCCCCTCTCTTATTTCCTCTGACATCTTGTACGGAACTCTGCTATCTGCATAGGACGGGGGATTTCGAGACCTGGAGCTAGGAGAGTTGTTATCATTTTTTCTAAGGATGAGAAATGAGACCTGGACTGCAGAGAAACCTCTTTGGGTATAATCCTCCAAACTTTCAAACACTTCAGAGCAGTAAAAATCTGGATGATTTAAGATAAAGCATGCAACTCTTTCAATCTTAATGATAAAACTAAATCAATCAAATTTGGACTGGATTGTCCTTTATAAAAATGAACAGAGAATGTTTCAAAGCCCTTCTCCTACCTCCTTCCCATATGCTTCAGGATTTTTTTTTTTTTTGGTAGTATTATAATTCATATATTTTTTTGTATCACTTTTCAAAAGCATTTAGCCTAGAGAACAGAAAGTCACAATGAGCTGGTTGAATCAGCTGTCTTCTAAACATGGGCCGGAGTTCAGTCCAGCTTTTGCGGTGGGAGAGAGACCACAGCTGGGGAGCCTTTGAGACCAATCAGCAAGAAAAGATAAGAATCCAGAAAGGAGAGTTTTACAACAGAGTATTTGTCCCATCCGAAAAAGAAATCACCTCCAAGAACTACTGAAAAATTCTATCCATACAGACTAAATATACAGAGCTGGACAGAATGAGTAAAAATGTGGGGGCCTCCCAGCCTCTGCTAACTACATCCCAACTGTCACTCATCGCAGACCCATTCTTTCTGGTGTCACATTATGTACCAGAAGCAACTATGCAACACTCCCCACAAACAATTAATAAGAACTATCTGCTGGAACTAGGCTGTATACTTGCGAGTGAGCACCCTGGCCGTTATCATGTTCATCATCAGTATCAGAAGCAGAGCTGAGGTGGAAGCTGTCCTGTGATACAATAGCTCACTGTTTACAAACAAGTATCAGAACCATGTTGCTACCCAACAAGTGCTAAACCACAAAAATATTTTGCCATTATCTGTGCATGAATGAATTAGTTGTGGGGTTAGGACAGATGGCTTCTCATAGTCCCATGCCCCCAGCCCTGTGCTGTTTTCCTGAACCTACAAATGTTCTCCAGTGTCAACCACCTTCCTCTCTCACTCAGTAGCTAATTTAGACTAGAATGCTAAAGGATAGACGAAGGCACAGGGAAGGATAACAGGGCAGGGAGCGATGAGCGGATAGAGACAGAGGAGGATAGAGACGGGAACAGCATGGGAGAAGGGGGGGTGCTCTAGAACGACTGGCCTCTGTCCAGAAACCGAGGGAAAGGAACAGGAACTAAAACGCCCATGGGAGAACTGGGAGTCTGACGCCTGGCCTTAGGCACAGGTGCTGCGGGTGGTTCAGAAAAGCCTCAGGGGTAAGGGAGGCCGCTATCCCATAAGGCTGCTTCTGTACCCCGTTTCCTCGCCTGGGCTCTGCAAGGGCTTTTTCTGTATGTCTTTTCCCCCACCCCTCATGACTGGTGCATGGCTTTTCCCAGCACACAGAAGAAGACTAGGCAGACTGGTTTCAGGAAGAGTTTAGCATTGTGACAACAGGAAGCCCAGGTTCTAAACGGAGGGCTGTTGTTGATAAGGTACTGGGAACCCTGGGGTCCAGATCAGACACCAGGTTCCTCATCTGAAAATGAGGAGGTTGGATTTGCTGACACATCTAATTCTCCAATCCCAGGATTCTAATTTCCTGAACTGGGTGCTGAAGTCACACGTCAGTGTGTGTCAGTTTCTCTGCCAGTAACAAAGGCAATGATAATACTGACATAAATTGCAAGGGCTCTTTGAAGAGTATAAATCTCGAATTCCAGTTGAAAGATTATGTGAAGACCCCTCTGACTTTTCCTGTGTATGCGTATCTTAAAATGCAATTAATGAATTCATCAATATCAAAATGAGGACACCAGGAGGGCCTTAAATACCACAGATCAAACATAAAAAACTTGACAAATAACCGAATCCGATGCTTTAGTGTCAAAGTTTGAAGTAGAGTATAAATCTCAAATTCCAGTTGAAAGATTATGTGAAGACCCCTCTGACTTTTCCTGTGTATGCGTATCTTAAAATGCAATTAATGAATTCATCAATATCAAAATGAGGACACCAGGAGGGCCTTAAATACCACAGATCAAACATAAAAAACTTGACAAATAACCGAATCCGATGCTTTAGTGTCAAAGTTTGTTAGTTTTCTTTGGTTTAAAATTTCACATTAGCATTCTCATAACCCTAAGAAAAAGCAGGCTTTATTTTGAAAACTGAGCGCAGTAATATCTTGTGAATACATAGATTTTCTGAGGATGCCACAGATTGCTAAACCTCTAATAAGGCTCTCCAGAAAATCAGCAGCAGAGAACTAGGCTGAATTCTAGTTTCATCAAAGTTGAATTACAGCTTTGAATTCTAACTATCCCATCCCATCATCCTAGTGTTTGTTATTTTTCTCACTCACATATGCTCTAGATGTACAAGCTATAAACAGTACTAGATTATTCTGCTTGTGTGATTCAATACATTGGTAATCTCATTTGTTAAATGTTTATAGATTTATACAGCTTAAATGGTTAATATTTTAATTAACAGTAAATTTTCAAAGTTCATAAAATAGTCTTAGAGCTCAAATCAAAGCGAAGAGATACGAAAGAGGAAAACGAAAAAATTCCAAATGGGTTTCAATATTAGTTTTTTAATATGCAGAAAATTATTATTAAGCTTTTTATCAATTGTATTCTTTTCAGGAATTATTCAAAGTCATAGTCTGGACTATTATCTTTGACATACATGTTGCATTATGTGGCAACGTATTTTTCATGGGCCACTGTTCCGTCCACACAAGCCCAGTCTGCAGACAGGCAGCGGAAGCAGAGAAACCCTCTTGGGGTCCTCCAGGCACCTAAGTAAATGACAGGAGCACCCCAAAGCAAGTCAGTTTTAGTTAACTCCCCTGCAGTGGTTTCGCCTAGCCTACCAGAATGGCAGCTGCCAGTGAATCATGGAGAAACAGTTTTAAAAGATCCTTTGTCTTACTGTAATTATTTGTATGTGGGTGTGTTCATGAACTGTGAATTAGATCCGCTGATCAAAATTCCAAATTAAAAATACAGAACTACCTGTGTGCACATAAATCTTGGTTGACTTCGTTTCAGAATGCTAACCTATGAAATAAATGTGAAAAAAAAAAGTTCCTTTGGGAGGAATTTAAGTCCAGCGTCTGCTCAAATGACTACACATTGAAATAAGGTTTG